GTTGTGTTGTGTTGTGTTGTGTTGTGTTGTGTTGTGTTGTGTTGTGTTGTGTTGTGTTGTGTTGTGTTGTGTTGTGTTGTGTTGTGTTGTGTTGTGTTGTGTTGTGTTGTGTTGTGTTGTGTTGTGTTGTGTCTATGCAGGGTCAGAAAGCTCTCGGATTTCATCAAAAATATCTTAATTTGTGTTCCGATAATGAACAAAAGGTCTTATGGGTTTGAAACGACATGAGGGTGAGTTAATAATGACATAATTTTCATTTTTGGGTGAACTAACCCTTTAAATACTTTATTATGAGGCTTTGAGTCTTGAGCTTATGAGTAAGTATACTTATAGTTATATCCAATTGTTGCCATAAAAATCCTCTAATCCCTGCTAATTTTGCACAGTGTTTGTGCAAAGATACAAAGAAAGGAGGTGACAACTTACTGGTTTACGTGGAGCATCTTGAATCAGCAGAAGACCATAAATTTCACTCCTTCCTGTGGTCAGCATACGTTTAACATGAAATCCAGCCACGTAAACAGACTAATCAAAACACGTCTACTATGTTTTTACCAGGCACCAGGATTACGCTAGTGACAAATTGCTAGACCAGTAGTTGCAAAATGACAATTTAGACAACTTTGCAGCTCAAAATTGTATGTGTTTTCTAAAAGATTTAATGTGAAGAATTAAAGTGCTTTAACAAAAAACATCCTCCCATTTCTGCCTTTAAACTTCATTTATCTCCATTAGGGGCCTTATTCTAACCAACATTTTGGAGTCATTGAAATTATTTTCTATGTTAATTAACATTATTCTCCAAATGCAATCCATTGAGCTTCACTTGTATTGAACCCGATTGATTCCTTTAGCCTGATAGTAATGGATCGGGGCTGCTAATATAAAAAGTTCAGGTTGCATCCAGGTGGCAGTAAACTTGAAATAGAGACTAACTAACATGTCACATGTGCCCTTTCACCAGCTAGACTCTTAATTGCAGGTTACTCCAAAGGGATTGTCCCTGTATTGAGCGCACTACAACAAAAGCATCAGCTAAATGACAGTTAATTACCAAATCTGCAGTATTTGATCTCTGCCCCCTGAGAAATTCAATTATGAAGCAGTAGCACTAGTAAGCACTACTGCTATCTTAACAAGTACAGAAAAATCTATGAAATAGTAGCTTCTGTTTTTAATGAACCTTATTTCATTTGCATATAGACGCAAGGTGCAGAAAATGTTTGGTTTTGCCTGCCAATCATAAACACAGCCTCCTCACACTTGCTGATTTGCATCATTGTGAAGCCGCCTTGGACTTGCTCACTAGCAATTATCCTTCGTTTTTTCTCCGTCTTACCATAAACATACACCCACAAGTCATCATGTTTAAACACAGCCCCTATACTTTGGGCTCAAAAACAAACCTCATGCCTGTGTAAATATTTAGTCCACACAGGTGTGATTTAACTTGACAGGGGAGAAACTCCCGGTGCGGTTGCTCCCTCCTCCTTTTAAGTTAATTGGAGCTTGATCATTGATTTTGGCTGGTATGGTGGTAACAGAAGTGTTTGTGCTACAAGGCAGTGAATATTAACAACCGTACCCCCTCAAGGCAGCCCGGTGTGACAGCGTGATTGACAGGCCGGCCTCTTCTGCATAAATAAGGACTTTTTGCGCCTCGAGCTCTTCAGAGAGCTAAATCCCAGAGCTGGGGAACTCTTCCCTCTTGCATGACAAACAGAACAACATCTCCGATTGCAAACCAGGCTGGGCTCCCTGAAGGAGGGCTGTTTTGATGAAGGATCTCATTTAGTGCTTTGGAGGCACGGCTGTAGCATGCGTCGTGAGGAGGTTTAGTTAGCCTGCGGCTGCCAGACATGGCCTACAGGACTTGGGGTTCCTCAATCTCGCCATTGATTCGTAGTGAAATAGCATAAATGTGCCGTTTTAGAAGTTTGCCCCTGCCATGCTGATGCAGGGCCGGGCCAGACTGTCAGAGTCTGATTACTGATCAGCATGGGCAGGCTGCCAGGGAGCAGGGCTTTGGGTCCACTTTAATTATGTTCTGTCCGCCTGACTAACCTTCAGCCGTCAAGCTCAGAAGGTATCCTCCTCCTCCAAGCTCTCTCTCTTTTCATTGCCTTTAAGAAAAACTGTTTATTATTGCTGTCTTTCTCTGTTTAAATCGTTGTGGTCTAAAGGTTCTTGAGTCAATAACGTGGCCATTTTTGTCTGCATCTATTAATTTAGTCAAAAATACACTGACAAGGCAATTCATTCACAATATGAATCAGATGCACCTATTTTATTATGGGCATGTTTTTAATTTCTGAATTAAAATGTATTTGGGTTTTAGGGTGATACAACTATCCTGATATCACAGTGAAAAAAACACCTGAAACTCTTTCAAATAAATAATATTCATTCATTCATTCATTCTGCTTTCCTGCTTTATTATTTTATTTTATTTTATTTTTTAAAGTCTTGTGGTATGATGAGCATGCAGACAAAATATATAAAACAGGAAATGATATACGTATAGCGGACCCCTGCAGACTGTAAGACCCTCAAGGTCAGTAAGTCTCTTAAAATTACAGAAAATTTGAACTTTTTATGACAAGGCAAGGTTAGTTCAAGGTGTATAATGTATATTTTTAAATTAATAATTCTTAATATTTGTATTATTGTAAAATATCTCTTATTTTGAAAAATATAACATTGGTATTTTGTATTATTTTATAAATATATTAATTTTTTATATTTATATTTTATGTAATAAAACTTAAAAAGCAAAATTGAAACTTAATCAAACTTAATAATTATTCATAATGAAATTGTACACTAAAAACATTCAAGGTGTAAGGAAAATATGTTATTACTTTTTACTTAATATATGACATTTTTACTTGTTGAAAATATTATAAACATTTTTCGAACTATATGAAACCAACATGAATGCAAAGTGCATTTTTTAAGTTTTTTAAGATCTTTTTAGATTTTTCATACTCCTAAAAACTAGGTATGTCTGAAATCGCATACTGATGAAGAACAAATTTTGCAGCTGTTAAAAAAAATATGTTCTACACTGAAAAATAATAATAATTAACTAAATGCGAAATTTGTGAAGTAGAAAAACAGAAATAGTATTTTGCTATAAAACAAACTCCAATAATCTTTGTTTTATTTACAACTTCAAAACATCATTTTACAGTGTAGTAATAACTTGTGTAGTATGAATAAAAACCAACATATTACATCCGTCATGTTGTCATTGTCATGTGACTTATAGTATCACTTGTGTTGTTTTACTGTCATTCTGAACTGTTCTCCCATGGCCTTTTAGGATGGAAAATATCTAACATGCCATCAATGTAGTAGGTAATCCGGATATTTTTCACCTACTGTTTTCACCTTCTATACAGAAGGTAAGCTGGCATTTTTGTACAAAGGGATTGTCTGAAAGTCTCTTTGATGTGTAAAAACATTGTGCCCTCACATATTATACCATCTTACTATTATTGCTACATTGTTGAGGTCTAGTCATTGCAGTCATGCACTATGAAAAAGCTTTGTTATCCACAGCTCAAAGTTCGCTCTTATGGCTTCCTCGACCTCTAGCGCTCTTTTTTTCTTCTCAATGTTATCTGTCTCCTTCCATTTGTACTTTGAACAGTGGCCTGCGGTGGAATGGTGAAAAACGCGACTCTCGGCCGCATTGTGTCTCCTGGTTTCCCTGGCAACTACAGCAACAACCTGACCTGCCACTGGGTGCTGGAGGCCCCTGAGGGTCAACGGCTGCATGTGCACTTCGAGAAGGTGGCCCTCGCGGAAGACGATGACAGGTCCGTCCCAGTCAACTCACTCAGTGGCCGCTATTATACACTAATTAGTCATCTGATGTTCAAAGAGACAGTTGGAGAAGCTCAGAGTGTCTCTTCACAGTGCAGTCACACTCCAAATGTGGCGCTGCTCTTCAGGGCATTATCTGCTACGGCGAGAGCGAGGCATGATAGGAACAGCTGTGAGAGCATGAGTGAAAGTGGATGAAAGTTTCTGAGATCAGACACTTGCTCTCCTTTAAAATAATTTAGAATAATCAAATCCCCTCGTGAAGGCGCAGAGAGAGCGATTAGAGCCCACTCCAGGGCCTCAGGAGGAGGATTAAGTTATTTTTATTAGCGGTATCCGCTTTTTCTGAAGGCTTTGCTAACAAATGGACTTTTAATGAGGTCACTTGCTGCTCAGCTATTCAAAATCATATCAGGCAATTATTATGCAAACTGCCAAAAGACAGTACTAGAAATCGGGGGAACGTTACATCTGCTGCCAAACAGATACTGTTGAGAGATTCCTTGTTTTGAACCGAACGAAACCCTTATGTCTGCAGGTTTCTGATTAAAAACGGCAACCACATTGATTCGCCGATTTTGTACGACTCGTACGAGGTGGAATACCTTCCTAACGAGGGAATCGTTAGTTCCGCCAGACATCTCTTTGTGGAGTTTACGACGGATGGTTTCGGTACCAACACAGGAGTAGCCATCAGATATGAAGGTATGGACCAACAATAATTTACAACTAATTTTCAGCAGTCAGAATGAATACAATCCAATACATTTCTGTTTTAATGAACCCTAAATGTTGCAGTCACATTGATATATTCATTTACATCTACATTACAAGTATTCAAACAAAAGAGTTCTCGGTCATAAGTGCCATTTTTGCCATGATGACAAACCCAAACAGAAAGCCATGTATTTCAGAAGAGCTTTTTTAGGAAATATTTAGCAAATATATCTCCTCCACTGACCAGTTCGTAAGGCTTGATACAAAAACACACACATGTTCATAAGAGTTAAAGGGATAGTTCACCCAAAAATTTTAATTCTGTCATTAATTACTCATCCTCATGTCATTCCAAACCCGTAAAACCTTTGTTCCCCTTAATTCGGAACACAAATTAAGATATTTTTTATGAAATCCGAGAGCTTTCTGACCATGCAATGCAACTATCACGTTCAAGGCCCAGAAAGGTAGGACATATCTAAAATAGTCCATGTGACATCAGCGGTTCAACTGTAACGTTAAGAAGCTATGTGAATACTTTTTGTGTGCAAAGAAAACAAAAATAACGACTTTATTCAACAATTACTTCTCTTCTGTGTCAGTCTTCGAAGTCTTGAAATGGAAGAGAAGAAATAAAATTCTTCTTCAAATTAAGGTTGAACCACTGATGTCTCATGGACTATTTTAACAATGTCCTTACTACCTTTCTGGGCCTTGAACGTGTTAATTTTGTTGCTGTCTATGCAGGGTCAGAAAGCTCTCGGATTTCATCAAAAATATCTTAATTTGTGTTCCAAAGATGAACGAAGATCTTTCAGGTTTGGAACAACATGAGAATGAGTAATTAATGACAAAATTTTCATTTTTGGGTGAACTAACCCTTTAAAGCCTATATAAACATGCACAGCATGTCCAAAAGGTATTTTTTAAAGTGATTGAGAAAATAGTTGGATTCCAGCTTAACAATAATGAGGACTTGATAGCAGCCAACATCTTTTCTAATCCATCCTCCGCTGGTTTGTCTCTGAGCCGGCCGTACATGGCGACGGTTACCAAGTTCAAACGTCGGTTGAAGAACACGTGTCCTCTACAGAGCCTGAGGGCTGTGATGGAGACAAAGAGCGTACCTTCCGGCACATTCCCCTTGTTGCTTCGATTCACTCCAAAGATCTGCTCTCCCCTGTGCCTTGCTTAACACTCTTTAGATTCCTGGCTCAAATGAGATTTATTCAGATTAAATCAAATGGAAATCGAATGAAGTGGGCAAATGCAACCCGACAAGGTCATTAAAATGAGTTTTAACTGGAAACGCAGAGCCTTTTTTTTAACAGAAATTGCATTCCTATTCCCTCTGACAGGTCAGTCGAACATATGCAGTTGCATTTGTTCACAGGGATGTCAGGTACACCTCAGGACCTCACAGTCATTATCCGGCGAGATCAATCTAATCTCATTTACCATGCCACAATCCGATTATGCTATCTACAATATACTAATGTGCCTTCACGGCAACCTGTAACAATTCAGCTTGTCTTCTCACGCTCCAGACGCCTCTCTGAATTTCACACCAGCCAGGCTGCTCAGGTTTTAATAGTCTTTCTGATTGAAGTGCCATTCCCCTTCATCTGCCATCATAAACAAAATGGATCTGTTTTTATCCATTTCAGTAGACTAGCAAAAGCATTGATCTGGAACTCTGTGGTTGTTGAGAGGACACACGCGGAATATTCAGTCCTCTGAAGGCCTTTTAAACCATAATCATGTAAATCTATGTAGTAATTGCAGTTGAACAGAATAGTTTTATTTGTACATATTTGCTGAAATAAATGATTTTCAGAGCATTACCATCATTTTTAGAGATTAATTTCTCTTTTAGTGTAATGACCATGTTTTCTATGACAGTCAGTTTGGCTCAGAGAAACTTTAATAGCTAAAGTTTCTCTTTCATACCTTAAATGCTACTGATCAAATGTTATATATATATATATATATATATATAATTATTATTATTATTATTATTTTGATCACCAAGGCTGCATTTATTTAATCAAAATACAGTAAAAACTGCAATAATGTGAAATTATACTATTTAAAATAAATGTTTTCTATTTTAAGATATTTTAAAGTGTAATTTATTCCTGTGATGCAAAGCTGAATTTTACTCTAGTCTTCAGTGTCACATGATCTTTCAGAAAACATTCTTATATGTGATATGCGGTATAATTTTCAGTATTTCTTTGATGAATAGAAAGTTCATAAAAACAGCATTTATTTGAAATAGAAATATTTTGTAACACATTTTTACTGTCACTTTTGGTCAATTTAATGTATCCTAGCTGATTAAAAGTTGTAAAAGTGTATTCATACCTTCATATTCATTCATCTATAGACTTAATGGAGTTCTGCTTTACGTTTCATTTAAGAATCAACTTTGTCCTAAAATTAGACATTTTCTGACATATAGTAAAAGTACAAAACTGTAATGTTTGGATAGCATACCATTATGATGAGGTAAAACATAGTACCTGTGAATTCTATGTTTTCTTTGTTTTAGAAGTGTCCCTATTGTAATTTAGTTTTGAAGGGATTTTAATGAGAAATGTTTGACTTCATATTTCGATACATAACTTTTGTGTCTTTGAACATTGAACAAAAGTTTGAGATATTGTCGGAGATCTCTTTGAAAACTCTCTTTTCTCGGGAGGAAAATCTTTCTTACCATTTAATCTAATTGCTGCTTGGGAGAAATAACTGAGACATTAAAGAGATTTCATCTCTGTTTTTTCTTCCTATTGGGACTTCACTCATAGCAATAACATAAAATGCACATAAATTATGCACTGTCTGGAACAAATTACTCTTATTTCCATATAAATTTGACTTTTATGTTGATACCATCTTATATAATGATTGTTTATATGCTTATAAGAGAGCAAGAATCACCTGATGATTAAAATGACTAATTTCTACTTCTTTTAGAGAACGGAGTCAGATGAAGCCAAAGATGAATATTGCAAATGTGTCTGGGGAAGGGGGTGAAAACAGTTTGCTGTAATTGGCAGAATCGCCTGTGTTTATTAAACAGAGAGCGAGGCTGAACGTAAAGCTGAATGTGGGTAGTCTAATCTAGCTCACGCTTGAATGAGGCCGGACCCGGAGGGATATCAAAGCCACTGTTTCTCCATCGTCTGAACATCCTCATCTTAAGTCTCCTCCTCTCGCTCTAATCTCTATTCTACATTCTCAGACGAGCACAACAACCAATAACGGTTCAGCCAGGCGTGACGGTTTGTTGTTTCCCTGAGTGAGTTTGTTCATTCACGTTTCACATTTATTCACGTTGTCAGGCCGTCTCTCTTCCTTTTACATTCGTAAGTGGCCTTGCAACTCTGGCTAAGGATGATTAACTAACAATCTCTTTCCAAGGGCAACCAGAAACCTTGGGTTTGCATCCAGGAAGATTATGATTGGTGGGAAAGTAAAACGCTGCACATTGCTTTAGCAGACAAATTCTTTTAGACTGCCTTCTAAAAACGCTTTCAAATTCGGATTCTGCGCTGTCCTTTCGGACTAAATTATTTTGTTAAGCAGTTAAAGGCTGAGCCGAGCGGACTGGTTGTCTGTGTGTGTTAAGCTCTTCTGAAATCAGATGCTTGATGATAGTGTTTGGACTGTGATGTGCGTCTCGGCGCAGGTGATTTATGGTGTGTCCTCTCAGCTTTTGCAGCAGGTCACTGCTACGAGCCATTCGTCAAGTACGGCAACTTCACCACCACTGACAGCACCTATGCTGTGGGCACGGTCATGGAGTTCACCTGTGACCCCGGATACCCCCTGGAGCAGGGCTCTGTTATCATCGAGTGCATGGATCCCAGCAACCCTCAATGGAATGAGACTGAGCCCGCCTGCAGAGGTGCGTGTTAATGTTTGCATATGTATATGTACCAGAGTTGAGCCAAATACAGAATTGAAGAAGTGGCTGCCTTTCAGTTCATGAGAGTGAATGTGAATCTGTCCGTAAGGCTTAAAAACTTTCCAATTTCAAGGCTTTATAAACATTTTGGTTACACTTTATTTTGATAGTCCACTTTAGACATTCTACTAACTACAAGTAACTTTGCAACTACATGTCAACTAATTCTCATGGATTCACAACTACATGTCTACTAACTCTCAGATTAGACTGTTAGGTTAGGTTTAGGGTTAGTCAATTAAGTTGACATATACTTGCAAAGATTCTTATAGTCAGTATGTTGTATGTTGTGGGCCTATCAAAGTAAAGTGTTAGGAGATATTAAGCAGACAGTCTACTAATACTCTAATGACTGCTAGTTGACATGTAGTTGCAAAGTTTCTTACTGTTAGTAGAATGTTTGTCTTTGTCTTCAGTTCATTTAATTCTTCTTCATTTAAAATTGCATTCAAACTCGAATTGCAATTCTGCCTCCTTTTTGCAACCTCATTTCAAACACAATTCTGAATGGCACGCAAGCCTAATATTCTTGGTTAATATTCAACTCTGGGTTGAATTTACTAAAATGTAATTTTAATAATAAAGTTTATATTAAAGGGGTCTTATGATCTTGCTAAAAAGAACATTATTTTGTGTATTTGGTGTAATAAAATGTGTTTATGCGGTTTAAGACATAAAAAACACATTATTTTCCACATACTGTACATTATTGTTTCTCCTCTATGCCCCGCCTTCTGAAATGCGTCGATTTTTACAAAGCTCATCTTTGAAAAAGTCTGGTCTGAAAAGCGAGGTGTGCTCTGATTGGCCAGCTTTCCAGTGCGTTGTGATTGGCCGAATACCTCAAGCGTGTGACGGAAATGTTACGCCCCACCATACTGTGATGCCCTGTCCGGCCGGAGCGACGAGACAAAAACATTAAAACCCATTATAAACGAGGCATTTGTTGCATCCAGTGGGGACATAATTACGGATTATAATGACTTATACTGTCTTTTTACGCGTTGCATCGCGCCGCATAAACATAAAACCATGTCTGCATTTGTGATCGGAGAAATGACAAACAACAAGCGCTACTCTACACTGCTCAAAACTCGAGTTTGAATCGTCAGTGGCAAATTCTTTAAATATGAAAACGTACTTACAG